TGAACCGGCTGGCCGTCCGTCACACACTGTGCAATTCACCTTCTAGTATGAATGAAAATTTCCGTTTTCCCATTGCCTCTCGTTTCGTCGAGGCGAAAAATTTCCATTTACCACATAGAAACGATTTCGCCCAATACAGCACAGCTGGCACCGCTCTCGTTCTCTCCGGCTCTCTAGGCGCATGCTCTCTGGATGATTTTCACTTTTCATTACGTATTTCATTTTCGCCTATTGTTTTTCGTTTTTCTTTGCGAAGTGTAATTGAAAATTCCGTTATTTAAATGAGGAAGTGACGTTGATTTTTGTTGATTTTGTTTTTGTTATTGTTTTTGATTATAGCCAAAAAATTTTAATTTCCATATTTAATTGGCAGGGCAATGCCAAACAAAATTATGATTTATATTGCCCGATGTTAGCAGATATATCCCGATTTTTAATGACTGCAGTAAATATAATAAACATTTCCTGCTATAATTTGATGTGTAGGTTTTTGCCTCTGGGATTTCATTGTTGTGCTGTTGCTGTGCATTTTCCCCCCTCCATTTTCACGTTCATGCATTTAATTTCCGTGTGCACTGCCTCTAAATAGTTTTTGGCAATAGCCCACAGCCAAGGAGGAAGCGCAGCGTTGAAGAACAAACAGCAACAACAAGAACAACTAAAGCAAATAGTTGATCATTATGATGTTTGATCATCATCACGCCAAGAATGTTGTGGCGGCTGGGCCGTTTGCTGTTGAAGTGGTTGGCGGCTGGCGCTACTCTCGAGGTAATTTCGAATTTCGAAATAATGACACGAGCATATGTCAAAGAATTTGTATATGTAAACGAATCTTTTCGTATACAGTGGAGCTCTGCCACTGGCAATCAAGCAAATTCGTCTCGAATGACAATCTAACGATTACCGCATCGAACCAGGCAATGATAATTCGAAGAAATCATCAGCCACGAATAATAAATATTAAATTTAGGAACTAATTCACCCAAACAAAAAAACGCCCCAACTAATGGGACTTCATCACATAAACTTGTATAAGACTGCTTATGTAAAATCTCCAGGAGATAATTGCCTATCCATAAACAGCTCGAAATTCACGTCTATTCCAACAAGCGACTAATTGTGGATTCCAATACACATATTAAATGAAACTCCTACGGTAAAAACCCCAACTAAATAGACTTTTTCATATGATTAAAGACATTTTTACTTGTCTCAAGTTGGCTTCAAGTTTGACCACACCCACACTTCCAGTCTGTAGCTTATTACGGGGGGGTGCAGAGGCTGGATATAACGGGCCGTAGTTAATTTAAGATATTTGCGTACCTTCGGCCCGACGACGATAATCCGGCGTAAAGCTGCGCGGCTCTTGCAAATTGCTGTAGCCACCTAATTTGAGAGCTGTTGACCCATTAGGGGCACAAGCCGTGGCGCCTCCAAAATGGCGCCCCGGCACGCAGTTCAGCCACTTGAATATGCCACCCTTCGCACACCACCCACAAGTATACGGCCACACACACACAGACATTTATGACTAAGCCAACAAAAGCGTCGACTGTGGCTGACCGCAGGCTGCAAGGACTGAGAAGCGTGCTTCAACCTTGGCGCCGCAAAATCCGCCTAAAAGCCACACGAGAGAATTGCCCCAAAACCGAACTAAAGTGAGCTGAACCGTCGTCCGCGACTAATTAGCATTAAATCAGCTAGAAGAGAGGACAGACAATAACGGCTATGATGGCTGGCACTTACCTTGCCAAATATGGTGAGGCCGCCGTGCTTCATGTTGAAGGTTGGCGCGTCCGCGTAGCTCGAGTCGGCCCACGGCGTATGGCATGTGGATGTCAGCGTCATATACCTCACCCCAATGGCGTACAGGGTGCGCAGCACAGCCAGCGAACCACCCAGCGAGTGGCCGCCCTCGACGCCGGTCAGCGAGCACAGCTGTTGGTTCTTGTGGGCATCGATGATGTCTGCAAAGAAGACATAAGCTGGAGTCCATCTTCAACCAAAAACCAATGAAAATGCCAATGTCGATAATGATGAAAACGGTATTGAATGGAGCCCGATGTCAAAAAGCAACATCGATTTATACCGCAAGCAAAGAACTATTGATAATTCAACAGAAAGTAAAATTGATTTGCATTTTGTTTAGATTGTTATAAAAAAAAAATACACTCCCTCAATACACTAATACGAAAGCCCCTCGCCCACTCCTCCTTCTCCCCATAGCACATTAGCTAAGAGGAAATAAGCAACAAGAAAATGGTTCAACCAAAGCGCAAAAAATACAAAAACACGGCCTCTTTTCCAAGGTACCAACAAGGTACCTTGCCTCCAAAAGAAAAAATCATATAAATATATTCTAGAAAAAACTCAACTCAACTCCACTCTACACACAGACCCAGTCTAAATCGAGATCATTTATATTTTTTGTCTGCCGACTTAAAATCTCATGCGTCAACTTAGTTGCACGCATGGGCAGCAGACGACAACGCCATCGGTAAAACCGATCTGGGGCAG